CAGCTCCTCCTGTTTATTGCCCATGCTACATGCATTGGTGTAAACACACTTGAGCTGGGCTGCCAATCTCACCCCTGGCCTTGGCATGCCAAGCCTAGGCTCATCCCTAGTGAGCTGGGCAATATCCCCTTCCCCCTTCGAACCTAGTTTAAAGCCCTCTCAATGAGCCCCGCCACTCAGAGGCAAGACAAGAAACTGCCTGTTTTTCTAGCCTTGCTTCTTAAAACATAAAAATATATGTTTCTTCAACTGCTCTGTTCTGATACAGCATCAGAAAGCTCCATATTAAAAGTCTTTCAAGAGTAGCATCTTCTGCCAATCAAGTAACATAGCTTAGTTTGTACCACAAATCCTATTTTTCCTCTTATTTTATACAGAGATTTTCTTCCTCTTCGCCTCCAGAACGACAACAATTATTCTATAAAATTACAGAGCATATGGAACACTTTCCTCCAAGCAATGAAACAGAGCACCATAAAAGCAATGAACATTAGCAGTTTATTAGAGGTGGTTTCCCTTCCTCATCATCTGCTTGGAGCTGCTGTGCAGGGGTACAAAACAGCTATGAAACGATTTGCCTGCATTACATAGGGTTTACTGTTAATTAGTTCTTGTACACACACAGAGTACATAAAAACAGCTTTTTTGTTTAGGAAGTGATGATTTGTTGAGAGGACATCCTTTGTAGATATAAAGCTAGCATTAGAATTGTAATTTCAGTTAACATCTACACATCATCTTATATAACCACTTGACAAAGGTGGTCCTGGCTAATTAGTTTCTGTTAGTTAAAAGAGAAACGTGAATGAAATATTCTTAGCGTATAAATAGAGACATCTGCTTACTCAGACCAATAACATCAAGGTGCTAGCTCTTTCCTATCATCTCCACCACATGCTTCTGATCACACCTTCAGATTTGCAGTCTCTCATGTACTGGAAAACAGAAATTTCGCTCCTCCTTTGATGATCTCTTCTCTCTCAGTATTGAGCTGAATGAATCATAAGGAGAATGTACACACTTAAAATTAATATTTTAAGTAAAAACTTTGTCCACAGTCTAGCTTCAATAGCTAAGTTAGCCAAACTTCTGGTGGATTTGTGTGCAGGGGAGCGTAGAAGAGCCAACGTTTCATAACTGCCTAGAGTCATTTTCTTACTGAGCAGCAGAGTATTATTTTTACAGTTTTTCAGTCTTCCTTTTAGGCAATGGTTATCCAAATCTTTGAAGCAGGCATAGTCCTCTTTTTGCTCTTTGTCTCAGAGGTAACAAATATGCTGTTCCACTCAAAGAAACCACTGACTACAGTTGTCAGAAGGTATTGAAAGGAGGAGTGGCATTCAAGTCATGGGTGGGAAAGGAGGACGGCTAACATCTTTGGGCACCTTGAGAAATTCCAGCCTCCATCTGCTTTCTACCTTTGCTTTAGTGATTTCTAGGAAAGGTTGATATAGAAGATGGAACCCAAACTGAAGCCTTACAGTAATAATCTAGTGCCTACTCCCCCCATGCAGAGAACAACAGGAAGAGCTACAAGAGGCTGAGAAAAGCCAGAACAGGAGGCTCTGGTCTCCTCTCTGTTCCCTGAGCTGAGATTCTCAGTACAGCGTGGAAGGAAGGAATGAGACAGAAAGGAAGACAAAGAAGCAGTGATATTAGTTACATGCCCGCTTAGGACTCCACTTTGCGTGGGGAATTCTCTGCTGGCAAGGCCTGTCCCATTCCTTTGGGCCTCTGCATCATCTAAACAGCCTGAAGAGGTCAGACAGAAAACCTGCTCAGCAAACTGACCCAGCATTGTGATAAGGACGCTACGAATTAAACATGGTATAAATAGTCAGAATATGTCACAAATGTGAGAAAATGCTTTCCCTGTCATATGATTTCAATTACAGTAAATCAATAGCTATAATGAAAATAACCAGAATTTGCAACCAAACCAAACACAAGCAGAAGAGGCACTCATTCCTCCTGTGACTTCTAACTCCTTCCGAGTTTGAACTTTTCCTGACAATTAAGAATACAGTGAAAGTCTTTGTGAAGATAAAATCAACACATCAAAAATAAATGTGCATCTCCACAGGGAAACAAGGCACATGACATCCAGAAAGTAACCTAACAGTCATCCGAAAAGTTTATCAAGTATTCTAGAGGAAAAATAGCCCTTACACATGGCACTGCGCTGGAAACAGGAAAGGAAAAGGGTTTCTAGCATCATTTTGGACAGGACTTTGTTGAAGATAAAGGTTTTAAAAAAAAACCAAACACCTGTACGGAAAAGTACCAAACATAAGCAGAAAAACAGAAGTTTCATCGGTCATCTGGAAAACAAGCCATGTGATGCTGATCTGATTCATCTTTACTAAAAATTGACAATATGAATTCCTTTGCTGTTCTACCAGACTCTTACAAAAGCCCTCAAGTCAATGGATCATGGCAAAACCAATCTGCAAACTGCAAAACTGGAAAGAAAAGCAACACTGGTATGAAAATGGAAACAGGTGAAGATAAGCAATATCTCGTCATTTGTAGCTAGAGCCCTACTCTCACTTTCAGCTGCCTGAACAGCAGAGAACCCTGCCCTTCAACTCACTGCTAATTCACATTAATGGAAGAAATGTAAGTCAGTGAATACGGGTAAAACTGATTACTAACTACTTTAAGGTCTGTAAGTCTAGGGAGGACATGCAATTGTTAAAGGGACATGAAGAAGGTTCTATCTAAAATGAAACACATCCATTTTTTATTTGAACCCCTACCATAACAAAAAGTATCACTTTTGCCAGTGCAGTTTTGCCCATTTTTAGCCCAAACAAAACAAACCATTTTCACCAAAAAAATAATGCACAATTTCACTAATCTAATAAATATAAAGGTATGAAATTTCCTTCTTTGGCTTTAAAGTGAAAGAATACATACATATCGACATTTAAATACAGTGCAGTACTTTTCCTAACATCAATTCAGTTAAGTTGGAACAAAAAAAATAATCCAGCAGATCTAAAGGAGGTATTTGAAGGTCTTCTGCCTCAGACTGAATGAAGCAGGAAATTATTCAGCAGAGTAAAAAAATTGCTTCAATTTCCACTCCCCTTGATAATTTGCTTTACTACCTTGACAGTGGATTCAAGGACACAAAGCCTACATTTTACACAACATAAAAACCAAAATAAGCATTGCCTCCCAACACATTGCTTAAGTCTGCCAGCCTACTAGATAACACTTTTTTTAATGTTGTGTCATCATGTCCGAGGTTCCACTCCTTTATTTCCAGTTTTAAATATAGGGCCCAATTTAACATCCATTTCCCATCAAATTCAGTAGATATTTGCCAGTACCACCAGAGACTTTACTACTACCTGAACATTTTTAATGCAGTGAACAACTTCTGATTGGCCTTCTGGGCAAACAGAGGAAGCTACAGTGAGCAGCCTGTAACTCCCTCAAAAACAGATTAAAAGCTCAATTGATGAAATACATTTTATTTTTAAATTGGTTACTAAAGCAAAGAACTTCAGCACAGCCTCCATTCTCTGTAGTTTGGTAAGCCTCTTAAACTTATGCAAATAATAATACATTTTCTATATTTGTGCTTTGACTAAAGTTGACAAAATGGATACCTTTAAAACTCATTGTTTGTTTTAGGCAACTCAGTTCGGATGAGTACATCTGAAAATGATTCCCCCACAGAAGTATCTCAAACCGTATACCCCAGATCAGAAAGAATAAAAAAATAATATTGAAATATTGCAAAACTCAGTCATCTTCCATTGCTTATTAATTGGTCCATGAATTAAGTCAGAACTTCTATTGATTTAATTAAACAAATATACCATTTGAGAACATTTATAGAGTGTTGTTATTCAATTATAAAATGTTCTCCCTCAACAGCTAGAAACAGGAATATTCACATTTAGGTGCACAACTAGGAAGGAAAGGCATCATTAAAAAAAGCTTTTTTTTAAAGACAAGATCAAAAAAACAAAGTAAAATTCTTAATGAGGTGAAGTTGATTGAAATGATATATTTTTCATCCAGTCTTAGCTCATGACAGTAATCCCAAAGCCTGTAAGTCATACTAACCAGTTTGAAATTAAAAATAAACACACAAACTCAATGGCAATGAAGGGCTTTCATGAAAAAGAATGCAGAGTGTAACTGGAATGTTTTGGGAGTCTTCCTACATTAATTTGTTTTGATTGTCATTACTGAAAAACAACATTGCTGCAAGGTTACGATTATTTTTTTTTTTAACAGAAAATGAAGAAAAAAAAAATCAAATGGTGTTATGTGAGTTAAGGAGGAAATTCAGTTTTGCTGAAACATTTACTTTTTTCCAGAGAACCAGCACAGAAGAAAAAGCTTCACTTGCTTTTAAGCTGTCTTAAAAGAAAAAAAGTAAATTTTAATTTAACCGAGTTATCACCATGTTTACTTCTAGTAAAATTTCATCAAGAAATACATATTCCTTCATAAAATTTCAGAATTCAATCCTTACTGATTTAACCTAAAAATAAAATTTTAAGAGAGGCATTTTCTAATCAGCCTAAACAAGGAAGATACTTAATTGGATTTCAAATGGAAAAGTAAATTTGGACGTTGAGGCATATCTTACTCCAGGACAAATTATGTTCTCCCCATAATTTGCATTTCTGAACAAACTGGATAGTATAACATTCCTATGGCAACCAGGGAAGGACCTTGTGTACAAAAATGGAAAAGTGGTGGATGTTACCTAGCATGTTGTGGTAAAGTGGACTGTCGTGTCCATGGATAGTAAATGCAGTCATGACTAGCGGGACCTCTACACCTGCAGGCAATTACAGAACAAAAGATGTCATTTGCCATTCACAAGGACATGCACATGCACGCGCCCTTGTCCACACACGGAGGATGAAAGACACACAGAGAACGATCACTCAGCAAGTACCTATCCATTAGGCCGATGCAGTCCTCGATACGTGGCCCTATGCACCTGCAGCAAATCCGAATTGAAAATAAGAAAAGAAAGAAATCTGTTATTTACAGATTCAGTAAGCAGGAATCCCCTCTTTGTGCCACGTTCTTAATTATAATTCTCAAGAGAGACTCAAGTCACCACAAAATTATAGCTTGTGACAAAAACAAGCTTGCAACAGGAACAATAACAGCAACATAAACAGCACTATAAGGTTGGACATATATTGGCTCAAAGAACACTTAAGGCAGGTTTCACCTGCATATGTGGGAGTCCTGACAATAGAGTTGCTTTTTCTGGATGTTGTCTGAATCATCAAACCAGCGATTACTGCTCGAAAGCTGTTCATTCGCAAGATGAGACCTCCAGAAGCACAATGCAAAACTATTTTTCTTTCTGTAATTGATGCAATCGCTCATTTTGTTCCAAGTTCCTAGCTAGGGCAACTACAGAAATATTTTGGAAACTGACTGTACTTTTATCAGGGAAGCTCAAGGATGAGCTTCCAACAACAAAAAAACAGCAAAATTGTGTCTGGCAATTCAGGCATTTTATTCTGCTTTCCTTAGATGCTGCTAGAAGTCTTCCACTTGCAAAATCAACAGGTGCTCACCACAGGCAATGGAAATGCAGAGAACCACTTTATGCAGCAGCACTACAGCACAACCATGGAGAAAGAGCCTGTTCACAAAACACGGATATGCATGGATTTTTCTCGCCCTCATGAAGAGCAGTAGGTGAAGTGGTGTCCTAGATCCTCTGCATTCAAACAGCAAGTCAGTTACACATTCACACAGCAGTCAGGATTCTCATCAACATATAGGTAAAGTTACACTTTTAGGGGTTCAGACAACCTAACACCCTTTAGTGTTGAATGCCCAGCTAGTCCGTCTGTAGCTATGCTCTCAGCATTTTAAGCTAACCAAACCACTTATCTAAACCCTTTAACAAGATCTCAGAGCCATTTTATTAACAGGATCTGGGGCTGTACGTCTACTACAGGAGCAAGTGATCTGACACATCAGTAGACTGAAACTCACTTCTGTTAAGGCATTTTAAATTTAAGATATGATCCCCAACTCTTTTTGAAGTCTCCTACTTTCACTTTGGCTTTGACAGAAGGATATGCATGTCAAAAAATCTGGAAGAGTTGAAATTTGCTCCCATGAGGTTTTCTTTCCACTTCACCATCACTTGCCACTGATCAGCTTTTGCTGCATTTAAATTAGCTATCACTCTGCCATTATCAAGTAAATCCAGTGAATTCAATTTCCCCTTACCTGCCCATCAGGGAGAGCAGAATGATAATGAACCTTACCTGTTGTTTACTTGAATTTTTATTTTTCTATAAAAACTGTGACACGCAAATACAAATTGTAAGGATTTCCTCAATAATGGTTTCCTTCAGCAAGTGTGCAGAAATAAAAAGAATTCATTAAACACCCAGGTGGCCAGATAATGCATAAAGTGGAAAGGGTAAATTTAAATGGAGTTCAAAAACTCAGTAGAGAGAACTCAACAGGTGTTTTTTGAAATTTCTGCTTAGAATTCAGACAGTCCTGAAGCCTAGGACAGCTGTCTCAAACATATCTAACATTTCTTCCTTCCACGGCATTCTCAGCAACTTGCACAAAACCAGTTCAATAACCAAGGAGGCTGAAAAAAGGTTGTTCAGCTCTTCCATTTCCTAGAACGTTAAGAGAAGCTGAGCTCAGACTCTTGCTATAAATAAAAAGAAGACCCTCTTCAAATTAGAGGTCTGAGAGGCCACTACTAGTTCAAATAACTGGCAGACTAACATAAAGAGCCTACTGTCTTGAAGTCATTTCACATCTGTACATTTATTCTCTCAGACTTTTGGAGAATAGGACTTGAATCCAAGAAGAGCGCATTGTTTGGACCTGATCCACTTCAAGATGAAATACCATTGATTTTTGTTTAAACCTGTAATCTTCTTCAGTGGATTTCCCAGCCCCAAACAGAAAACTCTGTCCAGGTGCAGTTTCCATTACTCCAAGTCATGTTGAACAGTTTCCTACTCTCCCTAGTCACATTGAACAGTTTCCTACTCTCTGACTACTGCATGTAATCAGGACAGCCAAAGTGCAATACTGCTGGTATAATGGCAATATCTGTTAAAAAGTTATTTTGCACCACAAAATCATCAGTTATTTTTTCTCTAGTAGTAACTTCCTTGGTTTCAGCCTTTTGACACATAAGTACAAGCATGACACAATCATACATCACACTGATACTCCATTCACTCCCAGGGTTCCTTCTTCTGCTTTGAGACTGGATGAGGTTTTCATTTCCAAGTTCGCTCTGTAAAATGAACTGGTTAACTGATACACGGCAATTTATTAAGGATATATTCAGTACCTTATAACAGTCCAATACAGCTTATACAGGAAGTTACACTTGGAGCTCATCCTACCTTTACAGATAATCATCCTCCAAAAGAAAATAATGAGTTAAAACAGTTTTGAAAATTCATGTAACAACTGTTTTTTTTCCTGAAACAATCCTTTTTCCCCTCTGTCACAAATATTGTCTTTCATAAATTTTCCTTAACATTAAAGGGTGGGGTCTTAACTGTTCACAGGTGCAGAGTAGCAAAGTCATTTCTAGTCAGATGAATTCTCAGAAATCTTTGTCAATGGAAACAAACAAAACCGATTGATTATACACTGGCATAAATGGATTAACTCTAGAGAAGAGAAAGCCTTAGTTGTGGTGATGACTGGGTCATCCAATTATTGCTACAGATAAAACCAGACAACTCAAAGCCAGGGGGTTACTTCAGTAATAGGAAGTACACTCTGATGGTGACAGTAAGGAAGTTGAAGTGGGGCAGGAGGCAGGGGGAAATTTTGCATCAAAAAATAGTAACAGTTTCTTATTCAGAGTTTGTGGCCATTGAATTTGTACTACTGTTTCATCTTGAATTTCTAATGCCTTCCTAAAAATACGCCTAAACTTTAGGGGCAAGACAGTCCGACCGCCTTCAAATCCCTCTGGACCACAGACGTGTTGATAAGGCTCCTGTTACTACTCTGGACTTGGCTTAGAAAGGTTAGAAAGTTTTGGTGAAGACTAATACATTTCCTTCAAAAGTTGTGTGAGAAAATGCCTTTCTATGATGAAGGGTGGTGTCCTGCGAGATCTCCCATTTGTGTCTTGCCCAGTAAGGAAGCAGACTGTCAAATGCTATTATATAATTACTATTTTATTTCTGTGAAAGTGTTCCATTTTGGCTAGCTCTGCAAGAAGAGGTGCCAAATGCTTTCTGACTCTCTTAAATTAAATGGGATAGCTGTCCCATATGCCTCAGATCCGCTCCAAAACGGCTTCTAGTAGCTGATGTTTATCATGGGGATGCAAGGCCAAGAGCACAGTTATTGCATCCAAGGAATTCACTCCCTGATAGTTCTCTTAGTCAATATAAATCCTTAACAGGGCTGAATAATTGCACACCTATTAACAGAAGCAGTCCTTGAATAAGGGAGGAGAATAGTGTTATGAATCTCACACTCTAGGCTGTAAAGCAATCATCTGTGGGCACCACGGTGAAATTGTGGCAAAATGCTCACAGAAAGCACGGAGGTGGGATAGATCTCTTCCGTGGTGACAGCGACAGGTGGGGATGACTAGAAACGTTGTATGACAACTAACAGCCCATTTTAGAAAGGACCCTGATTCCAAGAGAGCAGTGCTGCAGGAATGAGAAAATACCACACTAGAAACACTGCTCTGCAGCAGCTCAACGCTTTTTGACGACTATCCAAGCTGTACAGCAAAGGCATCGGTTTTATTCCAGCAATTGATCTGACAGAGATATCACACATACTAGATGAAGTAGAATTACAGTTTCTCTGTACCATTCAGTCATGAGCCAAATATCAATATGTGGTCTCTGCACAACCTATTTCACTTAAGAATCCTGATTAAGGGGAATTTAAATATTAATTTCTAAAGAAAGGGTATGAAACTAGAGAATTTGGCACACAAGGAGAAAAGGAGAGAGAGTAACTGCTTTCCCTTCCCTCTGTGGGCATATTCAGCCCCTAACAATGGTGGCAAGAAGATGCACAACCCATAAACCCCAAACATCTGGGGCAGTCATTAATAGTTTCATTAACATAATCATATGCCAGAAAGTCTTTAGGAACACTGGAAAATAACACTCATGCTCACCCATATTTGGGGGATGGTGGGGTGTTGGGTTTTTTTTTTTGGTGTTTTTTTTTTTTTTTTTACAAGTGGTGAAAAAATACCTAAGGACTAACAGATTAACCCTGAACAATAGGATGAGGTTTTCTGTGAGGAATAGTATTTGACTCATGGCAAATTGATACACCCTCATCCAGGAGATAACCACACCTTTCCATATGTAACCCAGGTGCAACCTTTAGCCCCTTTACTAGTGGTACTTCGTCACTTCTCTGGGGTTTTGCACTCAACGCTAAACAAGGCATTCTTTCACCTAATCAGCTGCACAAAAAAAGGACAACTGGAAGTTCAAGGCTTAAAGAACAACATAACTCAGCATAAAGCAACCTTGCATCATCAAGAATTGCCAATGATGACTAGCAAGTTCAGTTACAACTGCCTAACGCCATTCCTATCTGTTTATGAACTAGAATGTCCGATTTTGATCACAAGGCATAAAAAGCTCCCTTCTTGATCCCCTTCCAGCCAGGGAGATAAAAGCAACCACCCACTTGCAAAATACTGACGCATATGAAGTGGAAAGGCACAAAAAACATTCTGCTCCCTTCCTGGTACAGGAGTAACACAGCTGGGCTATGAAGATTAGGAATAGTTAGATCTGTTAGACCTCCTCAGAAAAGAGGAGGGAATGGGAAGAAGTGTCACACCCTGGTCTTCTGAAAGGCCAGCAGAGTTGCCAGGCACTTCCGCAGAGCAGAGAGTAAATCTATCAACCATAGCTGGGCTTGTCAGATTCAATCAGAACTGCACTTCCACCATCTATTAAAGCCAGGGCCAGAGCTCCTGAAGTGAGCTCATCTTTTCATATTGTTTCTTCCTACACTCTTCTTTCGCAGTAGCAACATTTTTCTTATTGTGTAACTGATTTAAAGGGTCTGAGGGGAAGACAAATCTGTAACAGATCCCGGCTGTGTCTTTGCAATCTCGCTTTCATTTCCCTAATGGCTCTATTGTAATTAGATTTGCAAAACCAGCAAAAGGTCTCATTTTGAATGGCAACAGCTGTTGACATCAAGATTACATTGAATAATTTACTGGTTTAATTTTAGCTTCTAAACAATAAGAGCCTCTTGTCCAAGACTATTTCACAAGCTGAAGTTTCATCTTTTTTCCCCTGGCTGCCTCTCCCTTTCTCTGTATGCTGGACACCACCAAACATCTCACTGAAACGACATTTATACCTTATGTATCCCATGCAAAGCAATTGTTGTCTATATGACTACTACTACTTTGTTGCACAGATTCTTGATTCTGGCTCAGATACATGGGCTGTGTGTTTCCAAATGTACCAAGTGATTTTGGGCACTTAGACAGGACTTGAGAAATTGATGCTCAGACTCCTGTACTGAGTCTGGTTTCAGAGAAACCCTTTGCATCAGTCCCCGTATGAAAAAGAGGGCAGTAACACTTTCGTCTCACAGTAGTGCTGTTGGGTTAGTTCACCAATACCAAGGAGCAGAGATGAAAATTCTGTCAAAAAGTAAATACCCAAAATATAGTCATTGTACAGGCCTACACTTAAACAAGGATCAATGGCAGTATTTGCTACAAACCAGTGCTAGCTAGAAGGAAAGCCAAGAGCACAGCTGTGAAAAGTTGTTACCGATGCTTTTCAAAATGGGTATAAGTGTTTTTTCCAATAAGGTGCTGGACATTCATGACTGGAAATTGAGTGTCATGAGAGTCGTGAAAATCAAAGGTTATATTACCCCTGCACACACTCTGTTTTCAGGAGTGGGAGAAGTGCTTCATCCAAGCCAAACTCTATCTAAATCATGATGTGCTACAACAGTAAATAGGATGACTCACTTCACAGAATTTGCACTTACCCTTGGGTGCAGTTTGGATGACATGGATGGCACTCATGATCTTCATCAGCATATTTGAAAATGAAGCTGTTAGCCCCCTGTAAGCCATCAGGACATTTTTCCACACAATTTGGACCATCCTTAAAATGGAAACACTTTGTGCAGTGGTCAGGTCCCTGGAGAGGATTGAAGAAAGAAATGCGGTGCATTCAAGTTACTCTGTTTTCTACTGCTGCACTAGAATTGCAGGTCTTAGCATGACAGCATGCTCAGCAATAACTATAGCAGCATTTCTTTCCTAACAAACAGCGAGTTATCTACATGCTGCCAGTCTCTGTTAAGAGGCAGCACACATCCTGGTGCTTTTGGCCATTAACTTCTTCTGTGGGGCGTAAGACTAAATTCCACCTTCTAAACAGGTTTCTCATTATTGGTGTACATAATACAATGGACTTCATGTCCGATTTAACTCTGAGAAATTTCCTGCAACACTGTTCAATACTGAACCATATTTGAAAAGCAACTGCAATGGCCTTTCAGCGGGATCCCCCACCTTTGCACTCCAGAATTACTTTCCACACTGTGCTCTCCCTATGGTATCTGGTCACAACACCACCGAAGAACTACAAGGTCTACTACTTCTTAATACATTTGTATACTAGACTGTTAAGAACTATAAACCAAGGCTCCTGGACAATGTAAAAGTAAAATTTTAAAGCTGTGATGATAAGCCAGTGTATAATCAAATCCAGTGTTCAGGCTGGGTACTGGTCTAGGTTGGGTACTGGTCTAGGATTTTATGTTCCTGACCCCTGCTACAAATCCAAATTTCCTTCATAGGTTGAACACTTGAAATAGTAGCTTCTTTCTTTATGGTTGTGTTGCATAAAACACAGTATTGCAACATGGTTGTGTTGCATAAAACACAGTATTGCAACAAAAATGATGTTATAAATGATTGCCAATGTAATGCCTTTCTTTCCATTCAGTAGGCAAGTCACAGAAACAAGGCAATAAGTCATGGGTTAAATTTTCTCACTGATGAAGAGCCTAAAACATAACAATAGCCCAGGATACTTGTGACTTTTAATCTTGGCAATACACAAAAGAACAAAAAAACAGACAACTTCTGTCTCACAAAAGAGCAATAATCTTTGACAGAATACTCACTGGCCATTATCAAGATTACAGCCACAGTTAACATTTGTTTATGACACATGAAAAAAAAATTCTCTATTAAAACAACCTAAAATGCTAATCACAGTAAAAAACCCCAAACAACACCTTGCTCAAGCTTGTTGAGAGACTGAGACAAACTCCCACATTTTTTTTGTGGGGAAAAAAAACAAGGTAACGGAAGTTATAGTAGAACAAGTCAAAACAAACTATAAAGAATGAAAACAGTGACAAACAAGTGACACTCAAATTGCAACTTTGTGCATCTGTACCACTAAGGCATTAACACAACTCAGGAAAGAAAAAGGACACTACTTTTTAAATAATTTTTTTTTAGGAGTCTGAGCCAAGGAAGTTTATTCCCAGCACCAATTTAACACAGAAAAAAAATTCCCTACATGCAGAATATGTGTATTTTCTGCTTTTGTTAACATTAATTTTCAATAGCTGCTTTAAATTTTACAAGCAGAAAATTCTTGTGCTTTAACAAGCTAGCCCATAATATACTAAATTTTGTTCTTACTGGCCCATAGCACGTGATCATATTTTCTTCCATCTTCTCACACTGGGGATCACACTCCACACAGACAGAACCATTTGCAAATTCTCGAAATTCCCTAGGAAAATATATTGCCAGCAGGTTAGAAGAAATCAAAAACAAGACTCAAACTGAGATAAAATGACTGGCTCTTCACCTAGCGCAAATAATTTCAGCTTTATTAGGGTCAGTAGACTGTGCCAGCTGAGATCACTTCTGTTAATGATATTATGCTGCTTTATACCAGAGGAAAAAAGAGCCCCATCAGCAACCTCATTCACAGGCAGGTGAAGCAGAAGACACCTTGTTTACCAGTATAAAATTAGAGTGTTTTTTCTCCTCTCTCTGTAAGAAATAAGGACCTCATTAACAGGACAAAGCAGCTCATTTCTCGATTTTTAGCTCTGGAATTGTCCCTCATAGCTCAGATTCAGGAATCCACTTGTTACATGGGAGACATCGCTATCAGATAGGAAAGGATTAGAAAGAGCGTTGATCGTGGTGCTGTTCTTGTTGTTTTAGTTAAGTCTCTGTGCACACTCCTGTTCTAAGGCCCATTCTCCAAAAGGCTCATAATTTTTTCATCAACAACAATTCCAGACTGAGGTCTGAATCTATAAAATGTCAAAACAAGTCCTTTTGCTCATTTATTTCATGTATCTACAAGATCTATCACCCAAGTGATTTATTTTTTTTTATTAACCACTTATAAGTGGGGGAAAATAGTTATAGAAGGCAGGATTTCTTCCATCAAATACCAGATACCTCATTTCAGCTTCCAGTTGCCACTCACAAAAAACCTTCTGGCAGCTTCTCAACACAATTCACCCCTCCTTCCTCTAGGCTGAGATGAATTCACATCTGAACAGGTCACTTCTCTCCCACTAACCACAAAGAGAATCTGTGTAACTAGCTCACACTGGACACCTAAGCTTTGCAAATGGATGCCATCTTCTTGCATTAACCAGTTAAAATACTTGCACTAAACAGCTAAAGATGTGCTGCACGCTCATGTTAGTGGGCTCTAGCAATATTACGGTAAAGGTGACGGCCTCTGTGCTTAGTTTATCCACGTTCTCTCTCTGCTCCTCTACAGTCATTAGGATCTATAGCAACAATACAGCTGAGGAAAACCTCACTTGACCATGGCAAGCAAGCTCAC